GGAAAGCCGGGGCCCCTGGGAAGGGGCGCGGAAATTCACAGCCTCTCCCCCTTCTCCCAAAGGCCTCCCATTCTGTGCCCGGGCGCCCTCGGACTCACCTGGCCTGCAATGTAGATGGGGAGGAAGATCCAGGCGAGCGTCAGCACGGAGAAGATGCCCTGCAGAGGACACGGAATCGGCTGGCCGCCAGGGCCCCGGGAGAGAGAGAGTCCTGCGCCCCCTCCCGTAACCTGGTCTGCTCGGCTCCGCGTCTGTCCGTCTCTCACTGGCTGAGTGGCTCACCCTCCCGGGACGTCGTATTTCCATGTTTAGATGGGAGAGGGGATGACGTAGGGACAAATGGAGACAGCCACGTTTTTGTGAACGCTAGCACAGTGTCCCCTAAACCTCACGTCATCCCCCTTCTTCCGAGGGCACTCCCTCCCCCCCATGGAGGGGTCAGGGGGGGCTGGAGGTCAGGCAGGCGCTGAAGGGGGGGGGGGCGGCGCTAGAAGAGCCCCCCCTGCACCTTTTACAAGCATTAACCCCTCATCCTCACAACGTTGCCACGTGGCAGGGGCTGTTACTATCCCCGTTTTAGACACGAAGCTCCGAGGCTCCGAGAGGTTAAGCCACTTGCCCGAGGTCACACAGCTGGCAAGCGATGCAGCCAGGATGCCAACCCGGGCAGCCTGGCTCTAGTCTGCACTTGAATCCCACGATGTAATGAGTCAGTGCACAGAGAAAGCACTAAAAAGCTACTCATTATAAAGATGAAGTCACTTTAATGAGCGCACCCCTCTCCTCAAATAGGGCCGAGCCCGCTACTCAGAGAGCGTCCTGCCTGGTGTCCGTGGCGGGCAGCGGGCCAAGGGCCACTGGGCGCACAGGCTTTGTGATGCCCGCGGCATCCGGCCGCCAGGGCGGACTCCCCCGCTTTCCCCGCACAGTCTCCCCCATCAGGCAGACAGACCCCGGGCCGGGCCGGAGGCCGAGACTGGTAGTCAGACTGATTTCGCTGGCGGGGTGCCGGACGCTCCCTGTTCGTGTTTCGGAAAGCACCACTCTGGTTTTAAAGGTGAGGCACGCACACAAAGGCCCCCAGATCTCCCTGTCCGGCGGAGAGGGCTGCCCACTGCGTGGTGAGTACTCACACTAAACTCATAAGCAGCTACCGAAATGCCCACCGCAGCGCCCGACCCCGCCAGCCCACGAAATGTCCACTTCCTATGTTGCTGGCAAACAAGGACGCACCCACCTGTGGGGAGACGGACAGGTTATACGTTGGAGACAAGTTCTGGGCACCTCCCCCCCCACCAACCCTGGAGCAGCGGTTCTCAACCTGTGGGTCGCGACCCCTTTAGGTGTAGAATGATCCTTTCACAGGGGTCGCCTAAGACCATCGGAAAACACATATGTAATTACATATTGTTTTTGTGATTAATCACTATGCTTTAATTCTGTTCAATTTGTAACAATGAAATTGGGGGTCACCACAACATGAGGAACTGTATTAAAGGGTCACAGCATTAGGAAGGCTGAGAACCACGGCCCTAGCGTATCTGGCACCTTCTCTTCAATTAGAAAGGACTCCTTCCCCAAGACTCTTACTTCCACTTATCATAAATCAGCATAATAACATGCAAACCTATGTAAATTGTGCCTCCTAGGGCTGTGCAGTACCCGACGCGGCCTCCCTGGGCAGAAGGATGTTGAAGGAAGTGCGGCCCGTGAGAACCAGGAGGCCTGTGTCATCCCAGCTTTGCTTCCAAAGTAGCAAAGCAGAGAGCCGGCCTCGGGTAGAACTCTAAGCGGCCGGGACTGGACTTGATGACCCCATCCCTGGTCTCGGTTGATTGGACCGATAGGCCTGGGCACCCAAGCTGGGCGGGTGACATTCTCTCTCCTGGGAATCTGGAACTGGTCCCTCAGACTGAGCGTGTGTCATCGGGTGGGGGTGGGTGGGGGCATGTCCAGGTCTGTGCTCATCCCTGCCACTCTGCTGAGGGAAAGGGCCATGACAGAGACCTGATCAAGTGAGCACTGAGCCAGAGCCAGAGGGTGGAGGTGAAGATGGAGACAGAGTAGAAATGGGGTGGGGGGGGTGGGGGGCAGGTAAGAGGGAGAGGGAGACAGAGCTGTCTGAGAGGCTCCTGGGCCTCCTGTGGACCCTCTGGCTTTCATCCAGTTCTATTCTATTGATCTATCCTTATGCCACTACCACGTTTTTTCCTGATTAGTGTCATTTTGTAGTAAGTATTGAAACCAGGAGATGTGAATCCTCTAACTTCGTTCTTTTTCAAGATTGTTTTGGCTATTCTGGGTCTTTACATTTCCACCTAGATTTTTGGACCTGCTTGTCAATTTCTGCAACAAAAAAAGGCAGCTGGAACGTTGAATCTCTCAAGCAGTTTGGGAAATATTACCATCTTAACAATATTAAGTCTTCAAACCAATGAACACGGGCTGTGTTCCCAATTTTTCAGTCCTTCTGTGACTAAAGAAGAGTTTGTGAAGGATTAGTGTCTTTATTCAGTGAGTCCAACATCTGGGCTTCTTCAGGGCCACTTTCAATGTTTCAGTGTATATATTATACTCCTTTTGTAAAACTTCCTATTTCATTCTTTTGATACAATTGCAAATGAAATATTCTTAATTTTATTTTTAAATTATTTGTTGCTAATATATAGAAATGTTGACCTTTTATATTGATTTATATGTTGATCTTATAGCTGCACTTACTGAACTCATTTATTAGCTACAGTATTTTTTCTGGGTTACTCAGAATTTTCTATTTTCAGGATCATGCCATCTGCAAATAGAGGTAGTATTATTTGTTCCTCTTCAAGCTGGATGGCTTTTATTTATGTTTGTGTGTGTGAGTTGCCCTGGCTAGAACCTCCTGTAAATCTTGAATAGAAATGGTAGGAAGGGACATCCTTGTCTGGTTCTTTATATTGGGGGGAAGCTCTCAGTCTTTCATAATTAAATATAATGTTAAATGTTGGTGGAGTTTTGTAGATGCCATTTTTCAGGTTGAAAACTTTCCTTTTATGTCTAGTTGGCTGAGTTTATTATTTTGATCATATAGGGGTGTTGGATTTTATGAAACATCTTTTCTGTATATATTGAAATGATCATGTAGTTTTGTCCTTTATTATAATGTAATATAGTGTTTTACATTAATCAACTTTTTTTGTATGTTCAACCAACCTTGCATTTCTAGGATAAATCTCTCTTGGCCATGTTGTATAATCTTTTTTATATATTGCTAGGATTGGTTTCTTAGGGACTTTTGAATCTATTTTCATGAGAGATATTTGTCTGTAGTTTTTTTTTCTTGTGGTGTCTGTCTGATTTTGGTACCAGCGTAATGTGTAACACACAGAATGAATTAAAGAGTGTTCCCTTATATTTTTTTGTGAAGAGTTTGTGAAGGATTATTGTCTTTATTCAGTAAGTCCAGCATCTGGGCTTCTTCAGGGCCACTTTTTATGGACTACTTTTCTTCCTGTATATCAGCGGTTCTCAACCTGTGGGTCGCGACCCCTTTGGGGGTCGAACGACCCTTTCACAGGGGTCGCCTAAGACCATACGAAAACACATATATAATTACATATTGTTTTTGTGATTAATCACTATGCTTTAATTATGTTCAATTTGTAACAATGAAAATACATCCTGCATATCAGATATTTACATTACGATTCGTAACAATAGCAAAATTACAGTTATGAAGTAGCAATGAAAATAATTTTATGGTTGGGGGTCACCACAACATGAGGAACTGTATTAAAGGGTTGTGGCATTAGGAAGGTTGAGAACCACTGCTGTATATAGATCATACTTTCTTAATTTTTTGCATGACTCATAATGTTTTGTTAAAAGTGGACATTTAACGTAACATCAGTGGCAACCCTAGAAATCTGATTGTTCCTCATTCCTGAGTTGATTGTTTTAGTAATTTTTTGTTGTTGCTACTGTTTATTTGTTTATAGACTTTCTTTTTTTTTTAAATATATTTTATTGATTTTTTACAGAGAGGAAGGGAGTGGGATAGAGAGTTAGAAACATCAATGAGAGAGAAACATCGATCAGCTGCCTCCTGCACACCCCCCACTGGGGATGTGCCCGCAACCAAGGTACATGCCCTTGACCGGAATCGAACCTGGGACCTTTCAGTCCTCAGGCCGATGCTCTATCCACTGAGCCAAACCGGTTACGGCTGTTTATAGACTTTCTTGAATGAATTATATAAAGTCTGTATTCTTTGTCATGTGTCTGCTTAGTTTAGTGGTCAGTTAATAACTAGGCAGAGATTTTCTTACATATCTAAAACAAATAATTTTCCCAGCCTTTGCCAGAAAGCTTTGTGTGCATGTCAAGGTATGCTTTCAACACTCAACCTGGATATTTCTGTCCTAGTTCTCACTTTTTGTTTATGCAGAGCCTCAGGGTGAGCCAGAGGTGAGAGCTGAGGACCTTTTCAGGTCTTTTCTAAGCATGTGCACAGCCCTGGATATCACATGGCTTCGATATTCCCAGGACTATGTCAGAGCTTCTCAAAACACTCTAGGAACGTCTCATTCTCCAGCTTGTCCTTTAAGTGCCTTGATTAGTCCATCGTATGCCCCAACGGTTATTGCTGCCTCAGACAGCTGCACTGTTAAACAATTGGCACTGATTGCTTTTGACAAATGTCTCTGGGGAAAAGGCTGTTCTTGCAAGTGGAGTCTCCCAGGGAACTTCAGGAAGAGGAAAATAGCGACAATTCTATGAGGAATGGGGTTTAAAGAGCTCCAATTCTATTCTGCTAGAGGCCCAGATACCTATTATCTCTCTGCATCTTAAACTCTGCATTTTTTTTTAACTTACTTCAAATGGGGGAAATTCTCCCTCTTTTTAGTTGAAAAATTTAACCCTTATTTTAGGATCATAAGTAAAAGTATTATTCCTGATCACCTTCCCAGGGTCTACTAAGAAGAGGCTTGTCTATATATGTGATGTGTATGGGTGATGTGTTTGTGTGTGCACGTGAGTTTGGCATTGCCCTTAGATCTACTTGAAAATAACATACCGTCCCAATCTCCTTAAGGCTTTAGTCTCTCTCATTTCTCATCATATATGCCTCGGGGGAGGTTCCACAGCCCCCAGCTCAGGCATTGAGTGTGTGACCCAGGCTTGAGCCAATTAGCACATCAAACCACCCTGGCCACAGTTACTGGCAGCGGATGGGCATGAGCCATAATCAGAAATGAGATATTTTCCAGGGACACTTCCATGGAAGTAGAGGCTCTTCCCATGCTGGGCTGGAACTTAGGAGGATAAAAGGTCTAGAGCAGCATCCACCAGCTCACTGACATGAAGTCGAGTCTGTTTGGGAATAGCACCCATCCAGAGGAGAGATGATAGATAGATAGAAATAGAAAGACTAAATGGAGGGGGGGGGAGAGAATAAGTAGAAGGCAAAACCAGGTCCTAATAATATCACTTGAGCCCCTGTACTCAGCCATAACTGAAACCCTAGGTTTTTTCCCTTAGGTGAGCTATAAATTCTTTTTTGATTAAACAAAATTGGATTGGAGCTAAGCCTTCTCTAGTCTATTCTGTAACTTACACACAATGTGCAACTACAGAGTCCTGAACAAGCAAGGCTAGACAGAATATCAGCACTTGAAAATTCTTTGAGAAGTGACTGTAATTGAACCAAAGATCACTTACCGGCCACCACATCATGTCCCCTCCGGCGAGGAAGTAGCCTTTCACGGTGTCTCTTTTGGTCTTCACTGTGGACTAAAACAAAGAAGGTGGGTGAGGGGAAGAAGAACAAACAGAGGCATCCCTAGGCTGCAGACGATAAAGTGAGAGTCCAATGGGCTAGATTTAAACACCAAATAGATTTTGTTTGACCCGTGGTTATAAAGAAGATTTTAATTTGAATACTTTTAGGAGACACACTCTTTAGGTCAACACAGCCCCTACTAGTCCCTGCTTCACACATTGATAATAACCTACTTGACCCCTAGGCATTTGAGTTTTACACTCATGGCTTAGCTATAATAGCTCCTAATGTGTATCATTCATTCTGTGTTAGCACTTGTATAGTGTCTGACACTATGCTAAGCATTTCAAAGCATTATCTCACTTTAATTCTTATTAACTCCCATGAGGTTGGGAGTTGGTGAGGAACTGAGGCTCAGAAATAAAGCCACTTATCTAGTGACACATTTCCAGATAGCAGAAGGGACAGGAATTCAAGCCTAGCTCAGCTTGATTTTGGAGCCCATGTTTTCAGCTGATCCACAAAACCATCTTTAGAAGTAAGCTCCCTGGCATTGAAGACGTGTTAATACAGACATTTTGACCACTGAGTGGTTTGTGTGATATTGAATAAGTTGTTCAACTTCTCTGAGCTTCTGGGTGTGAATGTTGGTGAGAGGATTCTTGCTGGATGGAACTGGAATTACAACTAAATTATAGAATAATCTGAAGACTAGCTGAAGAGGAGTCTTATAACTGAAAGGGCGAGGGCTAGGCCCTCCACCTTGCCCCAGGGTAAAGGCTACGCCCTCCATCTTGCCCCAGGGTAAGGGCTACGTCCTCCATCTTACCTTGGCCACGTGGACTCTACGGATTGAGGATCCCTACATGGTCTTGGGAATCCCGGGCGAGCCCCCAAATGTTATGCCCAGATTTCAAGATCCCCAAGAAACCACATCAGGGAGCCAGCCAGTCCGATGCAAAAGCATAAGAGTCTGTATTTCAAGCTAGCTTGAGCTCCCCGTCCACCAGACCATTTGTTAAGATATGCCCAGTACGGGCCTCTAGCAACGGTGGAATAGAAATGCAGTCCGTCTCATGATTGAGCCGGAAGTTCCAAGACAAAGGGGGGAATGAAAGGGCGAGGGCTAGGCCCTCCACCTTGCCCCAGGGTAAAGGCTACGTCCTCCATCTTACCCCAGGGTAAGGGCTACGTCCTCCATCTTACCTTGGCCACGTGCTTGGCAAGGAGCTTCTTCTCGGAAGTCTAAGACTCTGCTAGCCACACCCAGGAACAAGACATCGACTTGCGCCTGGCCAATTGGCAGAGCACAGTCCTTTCTCCTCCCCTTACTCCAACCCCCCCTTTAAAACCCGTCTCTAGGCGGGGTTCTCTCTCTTCGCCACTTGGCTTGTCGTTGTGTCGGTGAGTCTGGTGGACGGGGAGCTCAAGCTAGCTTGAAATACAGACTCTTATGCTTTTGCATCGGACTGGCTGGCTCCCTGATGTGGTTTCTTGGGGATCTTGAAATCTGGGCATAACAATAACCAAGGATTTACAGAAAAAGCCACATCACGAGGGGTAGGAAGGGCGGAGACAAGAAAAGGGCTGGCCCCACAACCAGAGATGGTGGCTGAGGTTCTCAGCTGCAGGGGTTCTCTCTGAGCAAAGAGCCAGGAAGAGGCACCCACAGAACATCTGGCTGTGAAAAGCAGCAGGGTTTCTGTCTGTCAGGGAGGGACGAGAGTCCACTAGAGACAGAAGCGCCCTCTTAAAGGGCCAGTGCACAAAATTTCATCTGCAGTCACTCACCCTGGGCTCCAGCAAAGGGACAGCGGAATGGACTAGAGTCACACGAGGAGAGTCTGGGGTCTGTGGCTCTGGGAGAGAGCTGAAGGGACAGCTGGCAGAATCCCTGTGCTGAGTCCCTCTCCCATGCTGCAGAACACCGCCTTTCCTGGGTGGAGCATTCCTTCCCAAAGGACATCCGCCTGGGGGAATGCACAAGCCCCCCCTCTAGTCTCCCTGTCACTGCACCCTGTGGAGCTGGGCCCTGCTGAGGAGTCAGCTGCTTTGGCCAGAACACGGAGGTCTGGGCAGACTTAGCAGGTGTCAGTGACCACGCTGTGTGGCTTTGAGGTGGATCCCACACTCCCAACTCCCCCAAAAGCCTGACCAGCACTTGCCCTTCATGGAGATTCACTAGCCCCATCCTCCCAACTCCCGGCAGCCCCACCTTACTGGGCTCAGTCTCCTCCCAGCAGAATCTGGGACAGACTGAGAGAAATATTGATGTGAGATGGGCCCTGAGCAGGGCCCGGGCTGGGAGGAGCCTGCAATCAAGGTACTGCCCTTGACCACTCCAATCAAGGTACTGCCCTTGACCAGAATCGAACCCAGGACCCTTCGGTCCGCAGGCCAAGGCTCTATCCACTGAGCCAAACCATCTAGGGCTGCCTCCTATTTTAAAGGAGGAAAATGTACACAATATTTTCTTGGATTTTGCATAAAGAAACTATGAGAGAATACACTAATTTACCACAGAATTAATGACAGTGGTTACCTGTGTAGGGAAGGGGAGTAATGGACTTTGCACTGTATCTCATTTTAAAGTTGTTTTTATTTTTGAATCATGTGACTAAAGAAAAACTTCCTTTAAAAAAAGAGCATGGGCTTCAAAGTGAAGGAGATATAGATTTTAACCCCTGCTCTCCTAACTTCCCAACAGAATAAGAAAGTGACATTCTCTGAGCCTCAGTTTTCGTATCTATGCGATGGGCATGGTGACAGTCTCTTCTTCCTAAGGACCCGTGCATATTACATGAGATTACGTAAGTGAAAGTGCCTAACTCGGCACCTGACCCGGGGCCAACGGTCAGTGCATTTTTTAAAATTTAAAGTTTTGAATTTAGTTTCTTCCCCTCTGCCGCCCCTTGGCCTGGCTTACCCACAGTCCCACGGCCAGGACGAAGAGGAAGTACAGAGCCAGCACCGCGATGTCACCTGCCTCCAGGCTCCTCTGGGGAAAGGCCTCCAGGGGATCCGGCGGTGTGGGCCTCGGGCTGCCGGGGCCGCTCTCCATGGTGCTGAACACACTTTGCATCCTGTGGGAGGTCACATGCGCGTCAGATGCAGAGCCCAGCACCACTCTCACCCGCTCACTGCCTGCCTGGGACAGCCAAGCAAGGCGACGCACGTGGAGGGATGAGTGTGGAGACAAAGCTGAGGGTCGATTCATCCATCCAGCACCCATTCACTCAGCAAATGTTTACAGTGAAGTTTTATCAAATCCATAGTTAATCCTCACCAATTCAATCACTCACTCTGCAGAATATAAAGAAGGATAAACAATTTAAATAGTACAGATGGTGTCATCACCTCTGCCACTTAACAAACACGACAGGAACAACAGAGAAACAAGATGCCTGAGTCAGTTTCTGATTCCCAGGTACCTGAAAGCCGGGCCAAGGCCTAGCCAATAATTTTGTTGGAGGCTTGGCCAGACACTACAAACTTGTTCCAATAAAATTGTATATATTTAACAAGTGCCTATATAACACTACTGCATGCCAGGCCTTATTCTAAGGATTTACAAATCTGCAAAGTGGGCACTGTTGTTCTACCATTTTCCAGATGGCAAAATTGAGGCACAGAGAAGTTAGGTTGTTGGGGTCCAGCCCCAGCAGGTCCAGGGGTTCCCAAAGGTGTGGACGGAGTCGGCGAAGAAGAAATGACACGGAGACAGCGTTCAGTTGATCAGCATAGCCAGGTTCTCTTTATTCTCCTGTTATATCTGTATTTATACCATAAATAAGCATGCCTCTATAGTCACATCATGATATGTTTTGGGTCCTCCCTTGACCTCCTATAGTTCCTTATTTCATGTTCATAGTTTCTTACCTGACCTTTGCCAAAAATCCTGTCTCTATCTAGTTCTGTTGATTTTAATCTTGTCTAGGTTAATCTCTGTGTTCCATTATAAGGGCTATTCCAAGGTCACTGTTCTGCTATACTGATAAGCTACAAGGAAGTGACTGAAGGAGATTATCCTACCCAGTAAAGGTTATGTCCTCCCAGCCCCCTGCTTGCCTTCCCTGGGACTGCCCTGTGTCGGTGGGACTCCAGGGGTATAGGCTTTGGTGCTTTCCCTGGTGGACAGAGCCCTGGGGATGTGGGCCCAACAAGTCCCAAATTTATTGCCAACAGTCTTAGTCCAAGTTCTTCATAAGTAGTACATGGCATTTCTGTAACACTAGGGGGTTTTACTGATTCATTCCCTTCCTTAGTCCCGTTAATTCCTAACTCCAGGGAAATATCCCCACCTGGGGAAACAACCTTTCTCAGGGAGGTGGCCCTGGTTAGAACACATAGCGCTAAGAAGGGGAGCAAACATATTAAGAACAGTATGCCATATACGCCAGGTCTCTTGAAACATATGCTGTGCAGATGTTTCTTCCCTGCAGCGACTGTGTCAAGCAACAAGGATGGACCGGCTTCCGGCATTAGGTAACTTGCCCAAGGTAATAGAGCTCAGTGGTAGAGCTGGGAGTTGCTCCAGAATCTGTTTTGAATCACTGTTCTAAGCCGTTTCGCAGTGCACTGCACTTTCATGGGTGACTTAAGGCATCTCTGTGATAGGCAGAATTATGTCTCCTCAAAGGTCTTTATATCCCAATCCCCAGAACCTGTGAATATGTTAAGGCACATGGCAAAGGCCCTAGCCAGTTTTTCTCAGTGGTTAGAGCATCAGCCTGAAGACTCAAGGGTCTCAGCTTCGATTCCGGTCAAGGACACGTACCTCGGTGGCAGGCTCGATCCCTAGGCCCTGGGCTGGGCTTGTGCAGGAGGCAACCAATCAATGTGTCTCTCTCACATCAATGTTTCTCTTTCTATGTCCCTCCCCTCCCTTCCACTCTCTCTAAAAAATCAATAGGAAAAATATCCTCTGGAGAAGATTAACAAAAAAAAGTCACATGACAAAGGACAATGAAGTTTGCAGATGGAATTAAGGTTGCTAACCAGCTCTCCTTCTAATAGGAAGCATGTCCTAATGCTCTGAGAGGGACTGTGCAACCCCCGGTCCTTCCACGTGGGGGAGGAAGTCAGAGAGGACAGTGAGGAGGATTTGGCCCAATGCTGCTGGCTTTAAAGGTGGTAGAGCCGGAAGCCATGGACAGCAGGTGGCTGCTAGACACTGAGAAAGCAAATTAATGGTCTCCCCTAGAACACACAGGAGTCCGGCCTGCTGTTGCCTTGACTTTTAGCCCTTTAAGACCCATTGGAAACGTATGACTTTCAGAGCTATAAGGTAATAAACTTGTGCTGTTTTTATTTCTTTAAAAATAATTTATTCATTTCTGATCATAGGTACAGGGAGGGTGAGAGGGTGATGCCCGAGACCCCGAGGCGGTCGGACGCAGCGGGACCACCCTGCCCCCAGCGTCGGCTCCTTCCTCCCGGCGGCACAGTCCAGCACCTGAGCATGCGGGAAGTTTAAAGTTGAGGTTTCCAGCTTACTTATAAATACTGAAACCGAGCCAGCTGTTCCAATGGCTGATTTCCCAACACTCGTGAATGAGTAGGTCACAGGCAAATTACGACTGCCTAGCTCTCAGCGCCGGTTAAACTCTTTAAAGGGCCTTTCTTCAGCCAGTGACTAAGGCGTCCTCTGTGTTCCCCGCCTTCAAAGTCCACATGCCTGTGGCGCCAGAGGGTAGTTCCTGGGGGTCCCCACTTCCTAGGGGATGGGGCAAGGCAGGCGGGCATCCCCACTTCCTAGGTGATG